ATCAATAGGATCAAGTGTGTACGAAACGTTGCATAATTTATGTAGTCCAGATGCACCAGTATCCAAAACATTTAAAGAGCTTTGCAATTTATTAAAATCACACTACACTCCACCAGTAATTGTTTTTCGGGAGAGAAAGAACTTTTGTACAGCGGAACAAGATGAAAATGAAACGGTTGCAAATTTGGAGACAATTTAAATTCTTTTGTGTTGGATCGTTTTATCATGGAGATGAACAGCAAAATATTTGAGCGACTTTGCGAAGAGGACGAGAAAATAACTATTGATAAAGCACTCAGAAAAGCACTTATTATGGAGATGAAATTGGTGGCCGAAGAAAATGATAATCAAGGCATGCAGGTTAGCAATGTCAGAGGAGGTAAATACCGAAATAAAAACTACAATAACCAAAACAAAACCAGATCAATTAGTTATGAAGGAAGACATGGAAAAAGGCAACCGGATAATCTAAAGAAAACAAACAATGTATGTTCGCACTGTGGATGACGAAACCATAATTCAAATGAATGCAGATTCAAACAAAGCAAATGTAACTTTTGTGGCAAAATTGGTCATCTAGCTTCGGTTTGTAGATTTAAAAACAAAAGTGTTAATTATGTAGCTGAATCGGATGTAGATAGTGAAGATTTTACTGAAAATAATTTTAATGATTTTTCTATTTACAGTATAAATAATGATAAAGGAGGTTGTGGTTATTCAACTGAGCTTTACAAAATTTCAATTAAAATAGATGGAATTCCCTTTGCTCCATGCAGTTTGGTATCAAAAACATTTGTCAAAAAATTAAGTAAAAAAGTAAGTCTCATGCCCTGTACAGATCCATATGTCGATTATAATGGAAACAAAATAGAAGTGTTAGGAGAATACATTGAGAACGTTGAAGTAAATGGTGTAAACAAAAAAGTTAAACTCATAGTTACAAATAATAATAACAGTCCTTTATTTGCAAGAAATTTTAATTTTGAACTTGTTCAAGTAAATTCAATTGACTCTCAAGAATGTCAAATTATTTTTGAAGAAATTAAAAATGAATTTCATGAAGTTTTTAGTGATGGCCTTGGAGCTTACAGATTTGGTGTTATTTCTTTGTCCATGGACACAAATGCAAAACCTATTTTCTGTAAACCAAACGTTCAATTTCTTTTGCATGGAAAGATAAAATAGAAAAGAGTTTAAGAGAGTTAATAGCCAGTGACATTTTAGAACCAGTTGATCATTCAGATTGGGGTACACCGCTTGTACCAATTTTAAAGCCGAATGGTGACATATGCATTTGTGGTGACTATAATAATTAATAAATATTTAACAGATTTTAAATATCCTCTTCCATTAATTGATGAGATTTTTGCTGCACTTCAGTTGTTTTCCAAATTAGATTTATCTAGTACATATAATCAATTAATTCTTGATGAAAAATCTCAGCTTTTATGTACATGGTCAACACATATTGGCACATTAAAAATGAAACGCTTACCTTTTGGTGTTAAGCCTGCAGCTGCCATATTTCAAAAGACAATGGAAAATGTTTTACAAGGTACACCATTCGTAGTTGTGTATCAAGATGATATTACAGTGTTAGGTAAAAATATGACAGAACATATTCGAAACCTAAAAAAAATATTAAATAAGTTAATGCTGGCTGGATTTAAGTTGAATTTGACCAAATGCGAATTTTTCAAAGAAGAAATTAACTATCTTGGTTTTACCATTGATAGATTTGGTCTCAAGAAAAATAAAAACAGAATAGCTTCAGTTACTAATGCCCCCACTTCTAATAATGTTTCTGAACTCAGAGCATTTTTAGGAATGGTTAATTATTATGCAAAGTTTGTCAACAATTTTGCAAAAATGATGATTCCTTTGTATAGATTATTACAAAAAAATGTAAAATTTTTCTGGTCTAAAGAATGTGAAGAAGCGTATAAAAATATTAAAAAAGAAATTACTTCTGATAAAGTTTTAATTCATTTCAATCCAAAATTACCAATATTCCTCACTACTGAAGCTTCGGATTTTGCCGTAGCTGGCGTTCTTTCACACAAAATTAATAATGTTTTAAAGCCTGTAGCATTTGTATCAAGGGCGCAATCGAAAGCTGAACAAAAATACAGCACATATGAAAAAGAAGCTTTAGCAATAGTCTTCTGTGTTACAAAGTTAAAGCAATATTTAATTGGAAATGTTTTTACATTAAAAACAGACCATAAACCATTAATTTCTCTATTTGGAGAAAATAAAGTCTTACCAGTAATGGCTTCGGCAAGTATCCAAAGATGGGCTTTTATACTTTCTGGTTTCAATTACATAATTGAACATGTTAAAGGTGAATTAAATGAAGCTGATAATTTATCACGAATGCCTCAACTCATAACTAGTAATAATGAAATTTTCAATGATAATTCTACATTTGTAAATTACATACAAAAAGATAATGTTTTAAATCTTGATTTCAAGGACATATCTAGGGAAACTAGACGTGATCCTATACTTTCTAAGGTATGTGAAATTGTTAAAATGGGTAAACTCAAAGAACTCAAAGATGAACAATTTAAGGCACTTGTTTTCAAAGAGTCTAAAAACAAAAGCACTAGCTAGATCCTTTGTGTGGTGGCCTAAACTGGATTCAGACATTGAAGATTTAATCAAGTCTTGTATTCCGTGTCAAGAACTTATGGCTACTCCAGAAAAAAGTTTTCTAATACCATGGATTCCTACAAGTTCTGTATGGCAAAGAATACACATAGACTTTGCAGGTCCAATTAAAAATTTTCATTTCAAAACTAAAGACATCACCTCCAATTTTGTAATTTCAAAACTTAGAGAAATTTTCTGTCGTTTCGGTATTCCTCATACCATTGTCAGCGACAACGGCAGACAATTTGTTTCTGAAGAATTTAAAATATTTACTACAAAGAATAAAATAAAACACGTTTTAACAGCTCCTGGACATCCAGCCACCAATGGCCAAGCTGAAAATTTCGTGAAATCATTAAAAAAATCTATTTATGCAAACTTGTCATCTGAAACAAATGAAAGCATTGACGTTATTTTAAATCGTTTTCTAATGGATTACCGTAATACTCAACACAGTTCAACTGGTGAAAGCTCAGCAAAACTTTTTATTGGAAGGTCAATTAGACCTCGATTTGATCTAATTAAACCACCTCTTGTCAGAGACAAGATAATTGAACAACATAAAAGTATTTTAACTTATAATGGTAAGAGATCTGTTGCGTTCGAAAAAGGTCAAAATGTTTTTATACGCGATTACACAAATGTTAATTCAAAGTCTTGGGCCTCTGCCATCATTAAGGATAAAACAGGTCCACGTTCATATCAATGTATTCTTTCAACAGGAAGAATTATAAAAAGACATACTGATCAGATTAGGGTAGGAGTGAATGAGAATCAGAATGTTGAAACAAAATATCAAAATGAAAATGATTCATCAGATTTACCATCATGCTCAAATGGAAATTCCTCTAATCAAGCAGTTGAAAAGTCTCGCGATAATAATGAGAAAAATATTGATGGATTACCTTCCAATTCAGAATGTAATAAAAAAGTAGACAACAATAATAATAGCAATTTGTCGCATTTGAATAAAAACAAAGATAATGAAAACGTCCATTCAAGAGTTATTAGACCTAGAGCAATTAAAAAATATACTTAATTTTATTATTTGTTTATAAATATGAATTGTATATTTTAATAAAGAATACAATTGTATTGGATTAAATAAAATTCATATGTACATTTGATATTATAAATATATACCTTTGTAAACTTACATGTATGTGAATTCTAAAACATTATACAAATCATTATATTTGTACATTCACATATAATTAAAAATTATAATTATAAAAACTATCAAAAATCAAATTTAAGTGGAGGCGTGTTATGTACGGATCTTATTATATTGTAATAGAGCGTGATTTATTATATTGTAATAGAGCGTTTAGAACTAAGTTTTTTAGCACTAAGTCTTGTCTCCTTCTTTCTCAAATATTAATAAACCATTGATTGAATAAACTCCAACGGAAGCGTTTCGATACATCAGCATTTTGAAATATTTAGAATTTCTCCGATATGCACTCCTGAATTTATGTATCATCCAGCTTTATATATCTCCAGTAATTTATTAAAGTTTGCTTGTTTTTTTGTAAATATAGAAAAAATCAGTCTTAGTTTTTACATTGGTATTAGCCTAAAATCTGGCCTCACAAAGGTATGAAGTAATTAGGGTGAGGAGGACTTTGATTGCTTCCAGAAACAGGCAAGGATACTTCCCATAACTGAAAACCAGAACTTAGTTAATTGTTTGCGATTAAAAATACTTTTCACAGATGTACTTTCCGATAATTCAATGATATCTTCTCTTGTTTTTTCGGCTTACTTCTATGTAGTTGGTCCAGCAATACGTTGCATATCCAATTTTGAACTTTAAATATTAACAGCTGTATTTGGCACAGTCGTCCCTCCATTTAATAGCTTAGAGTACAAAAAAGTTCCTCATCAGTATGTCCTCTAAAATTGCGGTGCCAACAAAATATTTTCTCGTCCACCCATGGGGAGCCGAGACACTTTGAGAAATACTGTCTTGTTGAGGTTGTTTTCTCCTTTGTGTTCTTAAACAAAGTAACTTTAGTTGAATAAGAGTTTACATCACCACATTTGTAATTACAATCCACATATTACTTCACCTTTGATAGTTTGGTTTATTTGTTTTTCCATTTTTCACCAACCAGGCATATTAGGTGATGTAACTAACATTTCTCTTACAATTACACGGCACTTTGGTGAGAGTTCGTTTTTCTAGTTTTGCAATAACAACGTGCGTTACAAAACGTTGCTCATTTCTTGGTAGAGAACTTACATCACATAACAACAACCATACACCATCATTCCACTCGCCTTTTTAAGAGTCGATTTGATCCTTACTTTAAACACCAATAAATTGGATCTTTTGTAACGTCGCTTATTATTTGGGTCCATAGCTGCTTAAGCATAATTGTTTTTCTGTCGACTTGCCGCTTGTGTTTTATTCTTCTTTGTGCGATATCCGTTGTTGGTTCAGAACAGTAGGTCCGTTGAAAATTCTGTCACTTGATTGTTACAGCCTGTTCCACGATCTCGAAAGAAAATTTGTGCGAACGAAGGCTACTCACTCACTTTCGTATAAGAATGCGTTCCACTAACTTTCGTTCTTTCTTTCGCATAGCCTTACGTGATTCAGTGTTGCTAAATATTTTTTTGGAAAAATTAATCGCGAAATAAAGCAAAAAAACGTCAAATGTCTAATTTAAACGCGAAAAAGCAGCAGTGGCTCTGTCTCAACTGACATTTCAGTTGTAAACAAACAAATTGTAAATAAACAAACAAAATAAAATTTCTACTGATTGTGTTCAAACTATTTGTGCTCTTAGAAAATAAAAAAAAAGAATATTTCCGTAGCCCTATTTTTTATGGAGGAGGTTCGAAATGTGCCACGGAGGCATTTAAGAGATGCTTCGAATTTATTTGAAGTACCTAACAACCAGTAAGTATGATTGTATTTTTACATTTTTGAAATAATAAAAAATGATTTTTTCTAGGTTTGTGGCCAACTTTCGTGTGTCGAAGGAAGTTTTCGGGCTCTTTTGGATATGATGGAAGAGAAGTGGGTGCCCGGTTGCAGAACTACCCAAATCCGCCCTGATTTAAAACTTCTTCTGCTGCTTCCAAAAATTGGAACACAGGATTCTCCTCCATTTACTCAACTAGTGCCCGCAGCTGTGTAGTTGATGATTTTTTCGTGCTGGAATTGAGAAAATAAAAAAAATATATATTTGTTGTTCACATATTAAATTGCATTTATTATTTTTACTTACATTTTTGTTTCCATTTTCAATCAAGCAATGTTTATGTTAAAACAATTTTCCTTAATTGTTATTATACGATAGCAAACACACAAGTGACTGATTTTGACATTTGTGTTCGCATGCGTACGAAAGAAAAAAGATAGTGGAACGCAAAATTACACTGAAATGCTTACGTTTTCGTTCGCTTTGATTTTCGTGCAAATTTTCGTTCTGATAGATTTTAGTGGAACGGAAATCAGCTGTTTGTCGTGTAAAAGTTGTGCGAACGTGTTCTTTCGATATCGTGGAACTGGCTGTTAATGTCTGTAGAATTATAGAGATTTATATGATAAATGATTTTAATATCGTTGAGGAAAAATATGATAGGTCATACAGATCATACCTTCAATGATGTCTGCCATAAAGCAGCATCTAAGACGTCTCAAACCCACAAACTGGGTTTCGGACAATTCTGTCCAGCGGGTCTCTGTGCAGTTAGTTATTTCACCCATTAATGCTACCTTAGAATCTTCTGTCAACGCAGTCATATTTATATTCTATTCGAAGACTCTGATATACTTCAGTGCAAATGTGGAGTTATTTAAAAAAATACAACCCGTATAACAACAACTTTTTTATGTAAGTGACGATCACGATCTCAATAGAAAAGGAAGACTTAAAATATTTGTTTATAATTTACAAGAACAGTGTTGGTTTGTTTGTTCGGGATGCAAAATTGTCAGGCTTAATCCCTTTATTGTTGTTGTTATAAAATACAACGTTTGTTTATTAGTGGAGACCGCTGGTAATGTTAACCAGGGGTATGGCAGGGAATACCTAGGTTTCGGAAAGAGCCACCAATCCTCATTAATTTACCCTGTTTTTGTTCGGGATATTCTCCCCAGGAGTTATTTTTAAAATAACTTCTATGACAAAAAAAAAACTTTTTTACTATTAATAGATACCATAGTATTTTGTTGTTGCAAAATGTTCAGGCTTAATCTCTTTATCGTTGTTTTTATAAAAAAAAAAACCTTGTCTTTCCAAAATCGTTAAAATATTTAAAAACCCATCAATCAAGATATTTATCTCACCTGGACGAATGACTTTCATTGAAAGAATTTAAAAGCTTGTGCTTTAAGTGGTGCTGAATAATTGTTGTTTTCATAAGAAGTAAATTGAGTGATTTTTATATTTTTCTTTGAATAAGTAAGTGAACATTTCATTTGCGTGTGAACAACTACTAAATATTTGTGTTCTATTGTAGTATTTTTCTGGACATACAAAGAAAGTAAGGCGTTAGATAGGACTTAGTTTCGAATCTGATAAAAGCAACCATCAGAATTAATAATAGTATTGTTGGTGTTCGGTTATTGATCAAGTGCACTTCTAAAATATTAAAACTTGATGCAACAATATTTTTGTCTCATATGTGTTAAAACAGTATACCTGTAATTATAGTTCGAACATTTTTATTTGATTGTGGAATCAGCTTTAGAGCTTGCATATCCATGCACAATATCAAACAAACATATCACTTTCGTTTTTCCATCTCTCAAGTGTGTATGTATTTTCTGTTGAATTTATCTAGCAGCTTCATGCGAAGCGCAAATGTCACACATTTCGTTCCTCCGCTAAAAAATTTATATTTTTCTGATAAAAAATTCCCAAAATTTTAGATGTGATACCAAAAAAATCCCATTTTCTTGAATAAGTCACTTTCACTGCAAAAAAAAAAAAAACTTCATAAGTTTGCATATAGTTTTTAAGGTCAAACTGAAGATACAACCTGGTGACGTCGATAGTGAGATTCCAATTTTGGTACATTATCTAGCCATTTATTCTTCGTTTTTCGTAATATTTTCCACTCTTTGTTTTCTTTGCCCTTAAAACGTTAAATTTGCGTTTTTTCCTGTACCATTTAGGAAGAAACGAAGTCAAAACGAGCTTCATTCGTACAGTATAATGCTGGAGCAGTATAGAATTATATTGAAGTAGTTTTACAATCAATAACCTATTGGCTACTAATTATAATAAAATATATACACCTTATAAATATTACGTTATTGTAATAACACTGAGACTGATTTCTAACACTTGTTTTTGATTTTTAACATTTGTTTCTTATCAATCTTTTCTAATTGCAGTGGTGCAGCAGTTTCGGAATTCACAAGGAAAACACATTCCGTGATTTCTAACGTGATTTCTAACACTTGTTTTTGATTTTTAACATTTGTTTCTTACCAATCTTTATTATTTGCAGTGGTGCAGCAGTTTCGGAATTCACAAGGAAAACACATTCCGTGAATTGAAAGCCGAGAATTCGAAAACGAACTACGTTATTGGTGTAAATGTGCAAAGAGGAAAGGGCTTATATCTTACAACAACATTCATTACTCTTACTCCCCGCTTCCAATTATATAATCGAAGTTCGAGAGAGCTGCAGTTTGCCCAAAAGTGTGATATTACAAAACAGGTAATTTATCGCAATGTTAATATTTTCCACAATAGGTCCTGACCTAAGTATTATCTAACCATTTCAACAAGCCAAGTGCGGACAATATCTGGTACTCGATTTATTCTATATGACATATACGTATTTTTATTTTCTATATGTTTGAACTTTTGTAGCGGTGAAATAAAAAACAGTGAATCGATATGTTTTATTTTCACATAAGCTGCAATGTAAACACAATTATTGAGAAGTAAAAGCTTTAAAGATAATCGGACAATGATTTCCCACTTTAAGGAAGTTATTAGTATTCAAAATTTGGACCTCTTGTGGGGAAGTGCAGGAAGGAAGGGAACCAATATTGCTCATTTTCGATCCTAATCTATGTCTCGTGGAATTATTTCGATGTGGCAAGTTTGAACTATACCATGTACTTAATTTACTCAATATGCTACTTGTATATTTTACTATGTATTGAACTTTTGTGGAGAAGGTACTAAAAGGATTAGACCAATATTTCCTATCCCTGAACTCGATCTATGTTTGCCAAAGACATCACGATATACCAAGTTTAGACGATATCGGATTCTCCCTGCGAGAGTTTATGTGCAGCAGGCAGACAGAAGGACAAGGCTACATCGACCCCAAATGTCCTAAACTGGATTTCGGTGAAGCATTTTTGATATACATCCGCATGAGGCTGAAGGTATAAGCTTTACATGCTGCGTGTTGGGTTCTGCCTATATGTTTTCCCTCTGATTCAATCATAGGCTGTAGCAAAAACTTCTACAGGGAGTTGGGTAGGTTTGGCAGGCAATTGAATAAAAGCTGCGTAAACAAACTTTATGCACATTCTTAGCTTCGGTGGCAAAAAATACATGGTAAGATTGGTTGAATGTTTTAGGTATTCATAGCCCTTCCAAATAATAGCTTCTCTGCTCGTAATAAGTATACAGTTTAAGCCTTTTGAAGCCTCCTCCCTTTTATTAAGACAGTTGTCCCCAAGTTAGCTTCGACTATTTTTTCTATGTACAGATTTCTGACTTCATTTAATAGTCTCCTATTTGATTTTACTAAGTCTCATACTTGAAAAATTCTCTTCTTCTTTTGTTCAGATTATTTAGGATTAGTGAGTTCGGTTGGATTGGCTGTGCATTTAAAGATGTGAAGAGTATTGCGCGAGCCTGTATCACACGCCGGGCAGACATCACTCACATTTTCATCAATTCGTGCTTAATACGAATTGAGACGACTACATCATCCTGAACGTAATTGCGCCCAAACTACCCTGGTTTGTCTAGGCAGTTGGCGTTCTTCAACTGCAATGGATGGGGGGTGGGCTTCGAGGACTGCATTCATTCTGTAATTGCTGACAGCGTCCGCGACTGCATCTGCATATATCGAGTGCCACTCAGACCTGCCTGATAGGCTTCTTGATCTAGAGGTTCTCTCTTATAGCGTTAGACCTTCCTCTATAGATCGAGTATGTCTTTCCTGACCCGCCTGGATGGGGGAGTTGTATTCACCATATGATGGTTGGGATGACTCTCACGGTAACACCCAAGCAAGTACTGCAATGAAAGCCTATGATTATGGACGTAAGGGAAGGACTCAAGAGAAGGCACCCTGCCGCAGTTCTCAGGGCAGCATTCTGGCAGGTCTGGTTGTGCTTCCACTGCGTAGCACTAGTATTCGCAGACCACGCTGGAGCCGCATAGCTGACCACAGACCGACCTATCGCGTTCTAAGAGGTCAAAAAGGTTTGCTTTCCGCACCCTAAGTGCTGTCGGCAAGCTTCTTCAGGTCCTTATTCCTACTTTTCATCTTGTCGCAAATACCTGTGGCTTGCGCGGACAACTTCAACATGTTGTCGAATGTGACGACTAGAATCCTGGGGTAGTTCGTGGGCGACCTACACATTCAGCTGTGTTCTCATCACCGCAGACCATATGGTAAAGAGTGTGGCCGTTGCTGATGGTTGGCAACTGGGTGCTGATGGTTGGCAACTGGGTAGCTTCCCCTAATGCTGGGGAGGAGTAAAGCCTCAGGAGTCTTAGCTACCGGCGACAAAAGCGAAATCGGCCTGTACGATTCATGGCATCCTTGCGTGGCTTCAGTAGCGGGACCATTCGGACCATTTTCTAGGCTTCGGGCAATGTGTGGGTGGCTCACGACAGGTTGAGAACTTTCGTTTGGTACTATCAGTCACCGTTACGTCGCTCAAAGTGACTAAGGTCCTATCGTCCTTTTTTCCAGGGTTCCAGAGCGACTTATCGGTTCCAACGTTTCAACACTTCAGATGGTCTAGCCACTTGTTTTCCTCTTATGGTCCTGTACCAACCGATTGGCTTCCACTGATTCACTGATTCTAGGGTTGTTACGACGGAGACCATCACGCTCATTTGCTGAAGGTATAAGCTTTACATGCTGCGTGTTGGGTTCTGCCTATATGTTTTCCCTCTGATTCAATCATAGGCTGTAGCAAAAACTTCTACAGGGAGTTGGGTAGGTTTGGCAGGCAATTGAATAAAAGCTGCGTAAACAAACTTTATGCACATTCTTAGCTTCGGTGGCAAAAAATACATGGTAAGATTGGTTGAATGTTTTAGGTATTCATAGCCCTTCCAAATAATAGCTTCTCTGCTCGTAATAAGTATACAGTTTAAGCCTTTTGAAGCCTCCTCCCTTTTATTAAGACAGTTGTCCCCAAGTTAGCTTCGACTATTTTTTCTATGTACAGATTTCTGACTTCATTTAATAGTCTCCTATTTGATGTTACAAAGTCTCATACTTGAAAAATTCTCTTCTTCTTTTGTTCAGATTATTTAAGATTAGTGACTTCGGTTGGATTGGCTGTGCATTTAAAGATGTGAAGAGTATTGCGCGAGCCTGTATCACACGCCGGGCAGACATCACTCACATTTTCATCAATTCGTGCTTAATACGAATTGAGACGACTACATCATCCTGAACGTAATTGCGCCCAAACTACCCTGGTTTGTCTAGGCAGTTGGCGTTCTTCAACTGCAATGGATGGGGGGTGGGCTTCGAGGACTGCATTCATTCTGTAATTGCTGACAGCGTCCGCGACTGCATCTGCATATATCGAGTGCCACTCAGACCTGCCTGATAGGCTTCTTGATCTAGAGGTTCTCTCTTATAGCGTTAGACCTTCCTCTATAGATCGAGTATGTCTTTCCTGACCCGCCTGGATGGGGGAGTTGTATTCACCATATGATGGTTGGGATGACTCTCACGGTAACACCCAAGCAAGTACTGCAATGAAAGCATATGATTATGGACGTAAGGGAAGGACTCAAGAGAAGGCACCCTGCCGCAGTTCTCAGGGCAGCATTCTGGCAGGTCTGGTTGTGCTTCCACTGCGTAGCACTAGTATTCGCAGACCACGCTGGAGCCGCATAGCTGACCACAGACCGACCTATCGCGTTCTAAGAGGTCAAAAAGGTTTGCTTTCCGCACCCTAAGTGCTGTGGGCAAGCTTCTTCAGGTCCTTATTCCTACTTTTCATCTTGTCGCAAATACCTGTGGCTTGCGCGGACAACTTCAACATGTTGTCGAATGTGACGACTAGAATCCTGGGGTAGTTCGTGGGCGACCTACACATTCAGCTGTGTTCTCATCACCGCAGACCATATGGTAAAGAGTGTGGCCGTTGCTGATGGTTGGCAACTGGGTGCTGATGGTTGGCAACTGGGTAGCTTCCCCTAATGCTGGGGAGGAGTAAAGCCTCAGGAGTCTTAGCTACCGGCGACAAAAGCGAAATCGGCCTGTACGATTCATGGCATCCTTGCGTGGCTTCAGTAGCGGGACCATTCGGACCATTTTCTAGGCTTCGGGCAATGTGTGGGTGGCTCACGACAGGTTGAGAACTTTCGTTTGGTACTATCAGTCACCGTTACGTCGCTCAAAGTGACTAAGGTCCTATCGTCCTTTTTTCCAGGGTTCCAGAGCGACTTAACCGTTAACCACAGCTTATTCATATCGGTTCCAACGTTGCAACACTTCAGATGGTCTAGCCACTTGTTTTCCTCTTATGGTCCTGTACCAACCGATTGGCTTCCACTGATTCACTGATTCTAGGGTTGGTACGACGGAGACCATCACGCTCATTTGCTGAAGGTATAAGCTTTACATGCTGCGTGTTGGGTTCTGCCTATATGTTTTCCCTCTGATTCAATCATAGGCTGTAGCAAAAACTTCTACAGGGAGTTGGGTAGGTTTGGCAGGCAATTGAATAAAAGCTGCGTAAACAAACTTTATGCACATTCTTAGCTTCGGTGGCAAAAAATACATGGTAAGATTGGTTGAATGTTTTAGGTATTCATAGCCCTTCCAAATAATAGCTTCTCTGCTCGTAATAAGTATACAGTTTAAGCCTTTTGAAGCCTCCTCCCTTTTATTAAGACAGTTGTCCCCAAGTTAGCTTCGACTATTTTTTCTATGTACAGATTTCTGACTTCATTTAATAGTCTCCTATTAGATTTTACAAAGTCTCATACTTGAAAAATTCTCTTCTTCTTTTGTTCAGATTATTTAGGATTAGTGAGTTCGGTTGGATTGGCTGTGCATTTAAAGATGTGAAGAGTATTGCGCGAGCCTGTATCACACGCCGGGCAGACATCACTCACATTTTCATCAATTCGTGCTTAATACGAATTGAGACGACTACATCATCCTGAACGTAATTGCGCCCAAACTACCCTGGTTTGTCTAGGCAGTTGGCGTTCTTCAACTGCAATGGATGGGGGGTGGGCTTCGAGGACTGCATTCATTCTGTAATTGCTGACAGCGTCCGCGACTGCATCTGCATATATCGAGTGCCACTCAGACCTGCCTGATAGGCTTCTTGATCTAGAGGTTCTCTCTTATAGCGTTAGACCTTCCTCTATAGATCGAGTATGTCTTTCCTGACCCGCCTGGATGGGGGAGTTGTATTCACCATATGATGGTTGGGATGACTCTCACGGTAACACCCAAGCAAGTACTGCAATGAAAGCATATGA